TGATGAAATTTTTTGAAACTCATAATGTAAGGATACATTAGTAGTATGCACAAGCTGGCATGGTCAAAATAGCAAGAACTCACGCGCATGCACGTGCGCTTTGCTCTGATTGGCTGAAACTAAAGTCTCAATATCTTTCTTGTTTCTTGTCATAATCCTTTGAAATTTTGAACATAGTCCTACATTATGAAGATCTACAGCATGATATATAAAAATTTTCATGAAAGCTTGCGCATGCGCGTGTGCTGTAATCTGATTGGCTGAAACTTTAAATGGCTATATCTCCTTTGTATTTTGACGAAATGCTTTAAAATTTAAAACATAGTCATGCATTAGGATATCCTACAAGATGATATAGAAAAAAAATTCATGAAATTACGCGCATGCACGTGTGCTGCAATCTGATTGGCTGAAACTTGAAATGGCTATAACTCCCTTGTTTTTCAACCAAACAGGATGGGATTTAGAATACTGATAGATATAAGGGACTCCTACAAGAAAGTATGGTGATCATGCTCGTGCACGCACCTGCGTGCATTTCGAACGAGTGAAATTAAAAAACACTTGAATGAGTGATTTTTAATACTTTTGGACTGAATGCTTTAATATACAGTATATTAAAATACATAGATAGTGTAGACAAGATGATATGGTCATATCGCACATGTATTCACATGCGCACAGGTGCAATGGTAAAATTTGAATATAATTGGTATCCTTCTGGGAAAACGTTGTTAAAGTCATATATGCACAGAGTTTGTCTTATTTAATGAAGCTGACAGGGAATATGGCACCAAAAGGGAGTTGGGGAGCATTTGGGGAACATCTGTAACGGTTCCCGTTACAATTAGCACTAGTTTCATGATAACATGAAACCCGAATAACATTTGTCGGTTTGGCTAATCCGCGGTTTGATTGGGTCCTTCATCAAGGTTCATCAGATTTTTCTTAATCAGTATTCAGTCCTTGAGAAAGGAATTTCTTGTGCAATAATTGGCATACTGGGATTATGTAGACTCTAATAAAAGTTCATAGTCTATGGGACCTTTTTGAAACGAACGTCTATAAATTTATTTTCTAAAACGTATCGACTTCATTGGTTTCAATTAAGTCAAAATAAGTTGTGAATTCGTTTGTAATTTACCAATAGTAACCAATTACTTATATCAACACACGGATGACCCACAGGTGTAGTGTCATCTATGTAAACACCCAATTAACACCTCCATCATGTCCATGCCATCCCCAGGCGTTTACTTTTTTTCCAGGTAAGTCCAGGCTCAATATTACGCTTGATCGGCGTGTATACACACGCAATCAAAACTTCGAGAGATAGAGAGTAAAATTCAATGAATTATGTGTAACGGGACCCAGGTTTTGGTTCGAGAGATAGAGAACTTCTAGAGATAGAAGTTCGAGAGATCAGGAGTAAATTTGCTTAGTTATATAGAGGAAAAAACGGGACCGGAGGTTCACTTCGAGAGATCGGAGTTCGAGCCATCTCGAGTCACCTGTATGTATATTAAATTGAGGTTTAATCAACTTACACAAAGTCAACTACACAATATGCCTCTAACAAAACTGTAGCTCTTCAGGTATGTACTTATTATAAAGAATAATCTACTACTCTGCAAGTCTTTTGGAAATCTGGCCAAAACTGTTAGAGGAGTAATACTTTGAGACACTTTGTCTATGTATACTTAGTCAGCAAAGTCTACTTGTGTAACAAGTCTCACTAAAATTATATTTTAACTGTAGGCTGATTTAAAGACATTTCTATTTTCGATAAGCATGGCAACACTGTTTCTCATAACTAAAAAGTGATATTTATGCATCTTGGTGTAGTCTACTTGTGTGACAGGTCTTATTAAAATGGAGAAAAACTCGAAAAGTGGTAGTTCCCATTTCAATATTCCATAGTGAAAATTTCGAAAAAACATGAAACAAGAAGTCATGGTTATGGCACGCCAAATTCATAACCAGAAGTCTCTGTCGAGACTGTAGCTCTACTGGTTTGTACTTATCAAAAACCATTGCACTATTTTATGTATCTTTGTGTAGTCTACTTGTGTGCCAACTTATTTTGAAATCAGAAAAAAACTGTAGGAGGAGTAGCGTTTTAAAGGAATTTCACAGAAAATTCTATTTTTAGTAACCATGGCAACACCGTTCATCTAAATCAAAAACCGTTGCACTATTCTATGTATCTAAGTGTAGTCTACTTGTGTGCCAAGTTATACTGAAATCAGACAAAAACTGTAGAAGGAGCAGCGTTTTTAAGGAATTTTACAGAAAATTCTATTTTTAGTAACCATGGTAACACCGTTCATCGAAATCAAAAACCAATGCTCTATTCTATGTATGTTAGTGTAGTCTACTTGTGTGCCAAGTTATATTGAAATCAGACAAAAACTGTAGAAGGAGTAGTGTTTTAAAGGAATTTCACAGAAAATTCTATTTTTAGTAACCATGGCAACACCGTTCATCCAAATCAAAAACCGATGTACTATTCTATGTATCTAAGTGTAGTCTACTTGTGTACCAAGTTATACTGAAATCAGACAAAAACTGTAGAAGGAGTAGCGTTTTTAAGGAATTTTACACAAAATTCTATTTTTAGTAACCATGGCAACAACGTTCATCGAAATCAAAAACCGATGCACTATTCTATGTATCTTAGTGTAGTCTACTTGTGTGCCAAGTTATACTGAAATCGGACAAAAACTGTAGAAGGAGTAGCGTTTTAAAGGAATTTCACAGAAAATTCTATTTTTAGTAACCATGGCAACACCGTTCATCCAAATCAAAAAACGATGCACTATTCTATGTATCTTAGTGTAGTCTACTTGTGTGCCAAGTTATATTGAAATCAGACCAAAACTGTAGAAGGAGTAGCGTTTTTAAGAAATTTCACAGAAAATTCTATTTTTAGTAACCATGGCAACACCGTTCATCCAAATCAAAAACCGATGCACTATTCTATGTATCTAAGTGTAGTCTACTTGTGTGCCAAGTAATACTGAAATCAGACCAAAACTGTAGGAGGAGTAGCGTTTTGAAAAATTGTTTACAGACGGACAGACAGACAGACGGACGGACGCCGGACGCATTACTATCGCATAAGCTCTTCTGGTCTCTGACCAGTAGAGCTAAAAATGAGCTTAACATAGTTTCACACTCGATAAACTAGGTTTATCAGTTGTTAACTACAGTGTACAGACTGTAAACTCTAGTTAACTATGTTAATCTATATTTTACATTAGTAAACCATAGTTAACGTGATAATCGATCTGATTAAAATACACGTGCTTTGCGCTATGTAGAGATCTATATTTTAATCAGATTGCGCCGTAATCTGTTTCAGATCCATAAACTATACTAAACATTGTAAACAATCATTTGCGATTGCAAAACATAGATTATCTGATAAATAGAGTTTCACTCTTTGTAAACCATGGTTTAGAACTCTTAACTGTAGTTAACGATCTGATAAATATAGTTTCATGACTTATGAAACTATGATTTACAACTCATAGCTATAGTTTACAATTGTAAATTATAGTTTACAGATGTGAATCTATGTTTATCAACAAAATCTATTTTAAATGTTTTATTACAGACAGATAAACTTAGATTAGATTAGCATTTGTAAACTATAGTTAACGACCATTGTTTTACAGATGAATACTATAGTTAATGAATTCTTTAATAACTATAGTTCATGGTTTGTAAACTGTTGTTTACATTCGTTAAACTTAGATTATAAACTGTGAAACTATATTTAGCTCATTTTTGTGAATTTGGCGCGCCCTACATGTTTCTTCTTTAACTTGTCTACCTATGTACCAAGTCCTATTAAAAATGGACCAAAACTGAAGGCATTTTAAATGCCTTGTTTGTCTACTTTTAGTAACCATGGCAATGACATTTGTTAAATTGAAGGTCTGGTGCTTAGAATTATGCATCATAGTATAATCTTCTTGTGTATCAAGGCTTATTAATGGAAATCAAACCAAATATGTAGAAGAAGTAATTTAAAAAAAATGTTCTAAAAATGCAGAAGGACAGACAGCTAGACACATAGACAAACACAAAATCAAGGGTAAAGAAGTTTACGCACTATATGGGGGCATAGAATATTTTAATTTATACAGTGTAATACTTACATTTTGCAATTTAAATTTAATTACAGCAACTGTTACAATGAAAATAGAAGCAGCAGCTGACAAGACTACAGGAATAATAATTCCTACCTCAGGCTCACTGTAAAAAAAAAACTGAGATTCAATTGTCATGCAATAAAAAATTCTAATTGTAGACATATGAATCAAAAAGATATATATTATTAATTAAAATGAATAAAACACCTTTTGAATTAGAATCTGTTAAATATAACTCAAATTATTGCTACATGTATAAAACAAGTAAAACAAGTTCGGTTTTTCACACTTAATAATGACAACCTTTATTTCTTGTATGCACCATGTATAATTGCTTCAGAGATAAGTAAATATAAAAACAGTCTTTCTTTTTTTAAATATTCATTGATGTTAAGGTGTAACATCCCTCTGATAAGAGATATCACTTTCTGAGAAAAGTATAATTATTCCAAGCGATTCAATGAATTGTCTTGTCAGAGTTAAATAATGAGGACCATTTTGGTTTTTGAGAAGAAGTTGAAAATGTCAAAAGTTTACATACGGACAAACAGAAGGATGACGAACATCGGGTGATCAGAAAAGCTCACTTGAGCTTTCAGCTCAGGTGAGCTAAAAATTGGTGAAATGGAGCAGAGGAATATTTCACCTTATTAAATAGGACAACTGTCAGCATCATTAGAGGTTGAATTGGGTGCCATGATATATTGTACATCATCAGTTTCAGAGAGGGCCAATATGGATTTAGAAAATCTATTGATTGTGACTTACTTATTGCCTTCAGACTTCCCAGAGGTTTTATTGGGTGAGCCTGCTGTTGTCTCATCTCCATGTTCAAGACTGCTCCTTTTGTCACAAGTTCCTTTAGCACTGGTACCTGTGGTTTGTTCAGTTGTCGTAGCTCTTTTATCTTTGAAACAATTTGCCACTATACAACATAATAAAAGAAAAAAAAACCATTATAAATAATTACAAACTGTTCTTCCTGAAATTGTTTACATGTATCTCATTATTCATTTCATTATGACAGATATATTTTCATTGGTTGGTGTGCTCAACAGTCTTATTATTATATCATTTAAAGTGTTTATTCAAAAATGTGCAGGCTGGGTGAACAAGTTCATTGATATACACATCATTTATAAAAGTTTCAGCCAAATACATTTGCATTTAAGCTGGGATAGATCAGTTTTCTGGCTTGCTGCCAAATCACATACTATTTTCAGGAAAATCATCTTACCTTCCCTTGAATTTGAAAGTAGGTAGTAGTCGCTGCAGGTCTCACATTCATTGTGTCTGACATTTAACACATAACAACCATTATCGTTATTCCATTCTGGACAGCCTTTTCCATTTATCGGTCTGTCTGGAGCACATCCAACTCCCAGGTCTGATCCAGGGACGACAGGCAAACAAAGTTGGAGATCATTTCCGCATTGCAAGTTGACGATGTGAGAATTGCATGTTTCGTTTCGTTTCAAGAAATAAAGCTTTGAAATCGGCTCTTTAGGTGGATCACAGTTGGGTTCCTATCAAATAAAACAAAACAATTTTGAGATTGACTGCTTATTTATGTCGTTTGCCATTTCAAAGCTCAACCCCCTTGCATAGACCCATGAATTGAAAGAGCTTGAATATTTATTGAAATTGACTTTGACAATAACATTAAATATAAAAAATTAACTAGTGCTAATTGTAACGGGGACCGTTACAGATGTTCCCCAAACGCTCCCCAACTCCCTTTTGGTGCCATATTCCCTGTAATCTCTATTAAATAAGAAATACTTTATGGAATTTAGACTTAATCAAGGTCTTCCCAGAAAAATACAAAATATATCTAAAAATAGGCATTGCACGCGTGTTCATGTGCGTAACGACCATATTATCTTGTCTACACTATCTAAAATTTTAATATACTTAATATCAAAGCATTTAATCCAAAAGTATTAAAAAATACACTAATTCGAGTGTATTTTTAATTTTACTCATTTCACGTGCACGCACGTGCATAATGACTACTTCTTTTAGGAGTCCCTTATATTTATCTATGTTCTAAATGCCATCCTGTTTGGTTGAAAAACAAGGGAGTTATAGCCATTTAAAGTTTCAGCCAATCAGATTGCAGCACACATGCATGCGCGTGATTTCATAAATTTTTATTTTTATCGTATTGAAGGATATCTAAATGAATGACTATATTTTAAAATTCCAAACATTTCATCAAAAATCAAAGGAGATATAGCCATATAAAGTTTCAGCCAATCAGATTGCAGCACACGTGCATGCGCGTGATTTCATGAATTTTTTTCTATATCATATTTTAGGATATCCTAATGCATGACTATGTTTTAAATTTCAAAGCATTTCGTCAAAAAACAAAGGATATATAGCCAATTAAAGTTTCAGCCAATCAGATTGCAGCACGCGCGCATGCGCATGCTTTCACGAAAGCTTTTATATATCATGCTGTAGATCTTTATAATGTACGACTATGTTCAAAATTTCAAAAGATTATGACAAGAAACAAGAAAGATATTAAGACTTTAGTTTCAGCCAATCAGAGCAAAGCGCACGTGCATGCGCGTGAGATCTTGCCATTTTGACCATGCCATCTTGTCTATACTACTAATGTATCCTTACATTATGAGTTTCAAAAAAATTCATCAAAAAAAAGAAAAGTTACAGCAATATCCATTATATTGGTCATTTCACGTGTTGCACGTGCGCGCTCTTGCAAGCACGTGCGCGCAAAATGACCTTCGTTCGGCAAATCTACATAACATGTCTACTGACCCAAAAAACATTTTACCTTAGTCGGATGTGTAGTTTACAAGATCACCCGTGGACAAAATTTTCCCAGGAATAAGAAAAATAATAATAACTAGATGAGATCTCGTTGCGAGCAACGAGTGGGTCTTCCGTTCGATTCTTGATGAAATGAGATGAGATTTTGATTGAGATTTTCATTCTTAAGTAATGATCTTCCATATTCTGTAAAATGACATTGAACAAAAAAGCCTTCTAAAATCGACTTTTGGCCCCTCACGGCCCCTAACATTAGGGATCAGTCCTTTTATCTTCATACCATTTAAAAGCTCTCAGGATTTTGAACACTTTTCGTTCAACAACTATTCAGAGATTCTTTTTCGTTTTCGAGTTATTCGGAAAAGAAATATTTAGGGGCCAACCCTTCAACTCCCTAATGGGGACGTTTAGCGAAAAATGAAAGGTTGCATATTGTTCAGAACATCATTTTGAACATCTTTTGTTCAATATTACTTATCAAAATATTTCTCACTTTTGAGATACAAAGCGTCAAAGATTTTGTCTTCTGGCCCCTTGTGGCCCCTAATTATGTAATATACGACTTTAAAATCATAATATACTGTTGTAGATTGTTGAGATAAACATTTTTACTTCAGTAATGTATTACAAATTATTGACTGTTAAAGAGTTATCGAAAAAAGACTTTTAGCCCCTCTTGGCCCCTAATTTGTGTGTCCAGCCACTTTTTCTGGATTTCATCTTAAAGCTCTTAGGATTTTGAGCACTTTTTGTTCAACAACTATTCAGAGATTCTTTTTCGTTTTCGAGTTATTCGCAAAAGAAATATTTAGGGGCCAACCCTTCAACTCCCTAATGGGGACGTTTAGCGAAAAATGAAAGGTTGCATATTGTTCAGAACATCATTTTGAACATCTTTTGTTCAATATCACTTATCAAAATATTTCTCACTTTTGAGATACAAAGCGTCAAAGATTTTGCTTTCTGGCCCCTTGTGGCCCCTAATTATGTAATGTACGACTTTAAAATCATTATATACTGTTGTAGATTGTTGAGATAAACATTTTTACTTCAGTAATGTATTACAAATTATTGACTGTTAAAGAGTTATTGAAAAAAGACTTTTAGCCCCTCTTGGCCCCTAATTTGTGTGTCCAGCCCCTTTTTCTGGATTTCATCTTAAAGCTCTTAGGATTTTGAGCACTTTTTGTTCAACAACTATTCAGAGATCCTTTTTCGTTTTCGAGTTATTCGCAAAAGAAATATTTAGGGGCCAACCCTTCAACTCCCTAATGGGGACGTTTAGCGAAAAATGAAAGGTTGCATATTGTTCAGAACATCATTTTGAACATCTTTTGTTCAATATTACTTATCAAAATATTTCTCACTTTTGAGATACAAAGCGTCAAAGATTTTGCCTTTTGGCCCCCTGTGGCCCCTAATTATGTAATGTACGACTTTAAAATCATTATATACTGTTGTAGATTGTTGAGATAAACATTTTTACTTCAGTAATGTATTACAAATTATTGACTGTTAAAGAGTTATCGAAAAAAGACTTTTAGCCCCTCTTGGCCCCTAATTTGTGTGTCCAGCCCCTTTTTCTGGATTTCGTCTTAAAGCTCTTAGGATTTTGAGCACTTTTTGTTCAACAACTATTCAGAGATTCTTTTTCGTTTTCGAGTTATACGCAAAAGAAATATTTAGGGGCCAACCCTTCAACTCCCTAATGGGGACGTTTAGCGAAAAATGAAAGGTTGCATATTGTTCAGAACATCATTTTGAACATCTTTTGTTCAATATTACTTATCAAAATATTTCTCACTTTTGAGATACAAAGCGTCAAAGATTTAGCCTTCTGGCCCCTTGTGGCCCCTAATTATGTAATATACAACACAAAAATCATAATATACTGTTGTAGATTGTTGAGATAAACATTTTTACTTCAGTAATGTATTACAAATTATTGACTGTTAAAGAGTTATCGAAAAAAGACTTTTAGCCCCTCTTGGCCCCTTATTTGTGTGTCCAGCCCCTTTTTCTGGATTTCATCTTAAAGCTCTTAGGATTTTGAGCACTTTTTGTTCAACAACTATTCAGAGATTCTTTTTCGTTTTCGAGTTATTCGCAAAAGAAATATTTAGGGGCCAACCCTTCAACTCCCTAATGGGGACGTTTAGCGAAAAATGAAAGGTTGCATATTGTTCAGAACATCATTTTGAACATCTTTTGTTCAATATTACTTATCAAAATATTTCTCACTCTTGAGATATAAAGCGTCAAAGATTTAGCCTTCTGGCCCCTTGTGGCCCCTAATTATGTACCATACGTCATAAAAATTATAATATATAGCTGTAGATTGTTGAGATAAACATTTTTGCTTCAGTATTATATTACAAAATATTAAGTGATAAAGAGTTATTGATTAAAGACTTTTGGCCCCTTTCTGCCCCTAATGTGATGAGTCAGCATTTTTTTCTTGATATCATTTGAAAGATCTCGTCATTCTGCACAAATGATGTTCAGTATGTTCTTACAAAATATTTATACTTTAAAAGATATGATGCAAAATGTCTCCAAAAATCACTCGTGATTCGTGTCCTAAATTTTGACCCCTACCGAGCTTCCATACTAGATACTTCCGGAAACTATCCAAACTCCCAGTAACATGGGGACATGTCGTCTATCATCACTGAAAATTTCAGCGCTCTAGCTCAAGCCGTTTTCGAGAAAATGAACGGACAAGGAGGTCCTCTGAATTTTGATAAAAGGGCGATAACTCTAGACCGGAAGTGATTTTCACAAAATCCTTCAGCCGGTATAAACTTCAGATTATCCTACAACATCTCTGAAAATTTGAAGCAAATCCATCCAACCATCTCTGAGAAATCTTCTGCACAAAATTTGTGCAGAAAAAAAGAATAATAATAATAATAAGAAAAGTGAAAAAGAAACATAAGAATAATAGAAGGGTCTTCCGCTGAAGACGGAAGACCCTAATAAGAAACAGAGTAAAAACATTTGTTCCCCAACTTCGTTTGGGGAACATAATTTACATAATGCATATATGGAACTTTACTAAAGTCATCAAATTATAGCTTGTTGATGCTGCTAACGGATGAACTTTGGGATGTGAATAAATTTATTGACAATCTATTTGATTTTTGGTACCATGTCTATTTAAATCCTACCTGATTTCCCTCAGATTTGCCAATCACTAATGAAGCAAAACATAGTAACAGGAGAACCTTGCCAATCTCTGATGAAACAATCCTTTTGAAGAACTGTTCGAGAATCATGATTGGTGACAAATCTTGCCGTGGATCACCATCTGCTCTTTTCCTCTCAATTTTTTCATCCTTGAACTTATTCTTGTTTGCTGCTTTAAAAGATAATAATTATTTAGCATATAAAAATCATATTATAATTTTAAGTTCAACCTACATTTCTTAATGTAAAAATACTAGTGTTGGCAAAGAGTACCCGGTTAACCGTCGAACGTAGCGAGTATCGGATAGTAAAAGTGCTATTCGGTTACTCGGATCAAATAAATTTACATAGTAAAGGCATAGAAAATGAATGTTTTATAATTCATAAATGTATGCTAACTTATTCATTTCCCTAATTTTAGGTACCGTTAGACTTTTTTGATCTAGTGCATGGTTGAAGTGAATTACCGGTAAATTGTTTTGATTAGTTTTCACAGTTTATATAATTGATAGCTTTGATTGCTTTAGGTATACATGTTTTGAAGGCCTGAGTTATAATTACCTCATTTGATAATTTAACAAGATGCCGCCGCAGACATAATTAGCTTGGAGTTGTAACAAAAGAGCAGCTGATTCAAAATCTATTAAATCACCTACGCTTAAATTATTCAGAAACCACCGATTTACTGGACACTCCACATATTAACAATTAATTATGGAATATGTAAATAATTATTCTCCTTGATTGCGACATATTTCGTGAGCTGAAAAAGAAAGTGTAAAATGGTGATTGACGATGACGCATTTATTTGTCTTTGTGTGTCAAATTCCCTATTAATTTTAAAATCGTAAGTCGTTGACGATATCGTATGTGTGTATTCATGGTATTGTAAATATACTGTCCCTATAGAGTATATTTGTGCATTACTACTACCGATAAGTATAGAATAAGATAAATAATAGATATTGATACTTTTACCAAAAATCATGCGAGTAACCAGGTACTCGATCAGAAGATGAAGCGAGTAACCGGTTACTAAAAATCGTCCAATTTGCCAACACTAAAAAATGCTGCTTATAATTGTATTTAATTTGTTTCATTAGGCATCAACAAAAGAAAACAAAGACTGAGAATCCAAGAGAATGCAAAGAGATTGTTATCATTAACAACTCAGTACTTTGTAAGTGGTTGACTTTGCATATTTTAAATGCACTATTCATATTTGATAGTATATTTGAAAGGCGAATTATGTCATAATGTATATTGCGTTCACGAACTTTGGTCACTCTTCAAAATATTAAACATATCTTAATTTCATTTTTTTTAGTCTCATAACAAAACCTGAAAAAGACATATTGTGACCTATATGTACTCAAAAGACTATAATCGTTAGTCACAGTAAAACTTGGTTATAAAAAAGTCACTGTGACTTGAAATTACTTCGCTATATTCATAATTCATTACATCCATATGAGGAATACTTTCAAATTTATGTAGTTGTGGATTCTATAACTTTGCTATATCAGTGAATTTGCAATATCTGTGTTCCTGATAAATGAGTATTACCGTATATGTAACTGAATAGAAAATAGCTTTTCAATGAGATAAGCTGTGTAAATAATGTAACAAATTAAAAGCAGATTCTTCATAAGACATACCTTTAAATGACTTTTTGGAAGTGTTCAGATTTTCTTCCTCCCTTTCCAAAACATTTGGCGAAGACATGGCAACCTCATCTGACGCTTTGGGCCCAATTTTGTCTGCCTTCAGATCTTCCTCTTTCTTTTCAAAAGAAGGTGAAGACATGGCAACCTCATCCAATTCTTTGGGCCCAATTTTGTCTGCATTCAGATCTTCCTCTTTCCTCTCAAAAGAAGTTGAAGACATGGCAACCTCATCCGACGCTTTGGACCCAATTTTGTCTGCATTAAGATCTTCCTTTTTCTTCTTAAAAGTAGGTGAAGACATGGCAACCTCATCCAATTCTTTGGACCCAATTTTGTCTGCATTCAGATCTTTGTTCTCAAAAGAGGTTGAAGACATGGCAACCTCATCCCACGCTTTAGGCCCAATTTTTTCTGCATTCAGATCTTCCTCTTTCTTCTCAAAAGACCGTGATGATATGACATCCCTATTAAATGCTCTATCCCTTTCTTTTTCTGTTGTCATTTCATCTTGTTCTTTTTCTAAAGGAGGTGAAGATGTGGCATCTTTATTCAATGCTCCAATTTCTTTTTTGTCTTTATTCAAATCTTTCTCTTTCTTTCCTGTAGAAGAAAGTGAAGTATAAATTCCAGCATAAAACTTGGATCACCTACACCTTTTCAGTAACTAGTCAACTCTATGTGGGGCCAAGATTCAAGCAGAGCTCACCTGGAACCGACTTACGACTTTTAAATTGTATCACTATGCATTTTACAGTTTGATGAGAAGTTTACCAATTTCTGCAGCAGCATTTTCTGTCCATAAATTAGCAAATAAATGGACAAATTTAATTTTAACTCGTGTTTGTGACCCCCCCCCCCCTTTTATTGCAATTTTTAAAGAACTACAAAAACCACAAAAGCTGGTTTTTATATATTTTAATAAGAAGAAGAACTAAAATTTTGGTGACATACCCTCGGCCTGTAGTTGTGCTGTAGGAGTCGACCCCTCTCTCAGCTTCCCAAGATCAACAGAGGTAGCTTCTATAATTCCAAAATGAAACAATTAACTAAGAAATATTTTTTAATCACAATGCTCATTAGTTAAGGATGCATTCTTTGGCCTCAAAAGAAACATTATAATTTATTATTCATCTGTTAAAATAAGCATACAACTTTCTTGCTCAATATCCCCCACAACTTTAGTTTTCTATTCTCAATTGAATTTTATGTAATGTCGATAATCTTCCAATAGAAAATTGAAGGGAATACTAACTTCAACGTATCGCAGTGTTCAACTAACATTGTGTATGATTTGTTAAACATAAATGTATACTGCAGTCAAGTAATATATCAAGTATTTGCAATCCAGTACATGAAAGTATTGCTAACATCTAAATAAATCCTTTAAAAATTTACATACGATTCTTAGGACGCTTTTGGTCAATCTCCAAATCAAACACGAACAGAAATGGATTTTCATCCTTCTCATGGAAATTTTTCTCAACCTTAAAAAAAATCAAGATGATTTATGCTAATTTAATGACAAACAAAGAAGGATGTAAAGTTTGTACAATCATAATGCTGTCTGAATTTAATTCTATGTCAAACACCATCTCAAAATCTACAACATGTACAAGTGTAGGGAAAAAGAATTCAACTTTTTTTTTAAACAAGAGGCCCAACAACTATCACCTTTGTATTTTCACTGTTTCTTCACCTTATTTTTCCCCTTGTAATACCTACTGTAGCCCAGCCTAAACCTAGGGCAAAGATCTGAACAATTTAGAGTCTACACTATCCCAAGATGCCTCTACATAATGTTCATTTTATCTAGCCCAGTGGTTCTTGAAAAGATTTTTCCCATATATTTCAAAATAAAATTTGGATTTCTTATTGTTGCTCCACCCAACCCCCAGGGTTCATGATTTGAACAATTTAGAATCTACACTATATCAGGATGCTTCCACGTAAGTTTCAGCTCTTGTGGCCCAGTGGTTCTTGAGAAGAAGAATTTAAAAGTTTTTTCCCTATATATTTCTATGTAAAACTTTGATTCCCTATTGTGACCTTAACCTATCCCCTGGCATCATGATTTGATCAATTAAGAATCTACACTACCCCAGGATGTTGTCACATAAGTTTAAACTTTTCTGGCCAAAGGGTTCCTAAGAAGAATAGTTTCCTCTTTCAGGGAATCATAAATCATTCTGCTATTTTCCTTAGGTGGTCGACGTTAACAAAGAATGGACAGCAGAAAGGAAAAAAAATCTGCCTTTTGGTAAGACAGGAAAATTGAAATATATATATATATATATATATATATATAACCTTGCAACATACATAGTTACAAATGGTAGTGGTAGGCCCATATTTTTCATACTGTTTCTGAACTTCACAACCTTCTGAAATTATTAGCAAAAAATGTACACATGTACATGTGCAAAATCAACATGATATTGAAATTTATATATAAAAGACAACTTATTGCTATACCTTTAAAAAGTGTATCCTATGTAATTGTATACTAAAAAGAGTCTAAAATTTCCAATGTTTTATTGAGCGAGCATAAAAAAATCTATGTTGGACTGCAGAGTGAGATGTTGGACTTGTCGATGAGACGTTAGACTGCTTTAATGTCACAGAGTGGGCAAAGTCCGAGTTCTATATCTTATTGTAGTTTGACAGAACTGAAGTGTGGGAAAATGACATTTACATTATGCTTTGTCCAAATAAAAAGTAAAAGGTATAACAAAACATTTATTGACTGTGTTCTCTGGAAATGTGTTTCGTCGACCCTTGAACCAAACTATTTACATGTAACAGTTTGGTTCTTGGGTCTGTCAAAACATGTTGCCCTTGAACACAGTCAATAGATGTAGTTTATGTACTATACTCTTACATACCCTGTTTGCTCTTTAAAAAAGGATGATGTAAATGAATTGCAGGTAAAAATTACGAATAAAAACCTCTTAGATATAGAACCATTATTAAGATAATATATGAATATGCAAATTGAGAATCGTTTTCACTAGTGGTTTAATTGAAGCTCTCCTTCTCTCAAACTTAAAAGGTTCCCTTACACTTTGAGAGATTGAGAAACATCTGTACAATTCTGTAAAGTTTCCATGAAATTCTACCTTTTTACTTTCCCTTTACCTCATGTCTTTATTGTTGTGATTAAAACTTCAATTCCTTTTGAAACTAACATTAAAAGAAAGCACCTTGTAGGGGTGTATATCTATGGATTGTAAAAACTGGTGATATTTTTGAAGCACTGTTTCACTGGGTCCAAAAAAAAATTGTTTTGTTCCCCTCGCCTGACCGACTGGCTTAAAAAGGCCCAACTCAAAAACTTTTTTAACCTCCAGGAAGCAATCAATTCTGTTTATGTATTTTGGAAACTATATTTTATAAATTTAGAATTGAAATTGGAATTTTATGAGAAATATAATTTTTTTCACCTACCTACTGACCAAAATTTTTTATCCCCAGTCAGGAGAGGGCAAACAAAATTATTTTAAAGCTGGCCCCATCTTCTTTGTTTTGTGTGATAATTAAATTCTTTCATCTTGCTCATTACTGCATGAGCTCTTGTAAATTAAAATTACCTTTCTGTTTATCTACCATCGCTCTTGAAGAGAATTTTTTGTTACATCTCTGATCTTTGTTGGCATGACAAATCTGCAGTAAAAAGAAAAAAAAATCATTTTATGTACAAGTCAGATAATTGCTACTAGTCTAGAATTGCACTCTTTCATAACAACAGAAAATAATGTAGAAGACAATGTATTTTTCGAAATTGATATGTAGACAATGTACAAAAAATAATGACTCTACAAACTGCAATGAATTTTTAATAGCCAATGGATCTCGCTTTAATCAACATCTATAATTTTCATATAAACTTACCCATCATATAAAACTAATACGACCGATTCCATCTTTCTGTCCTAATCCTTCATGATTCCTTTGGATTTACTGCAACAACAACCAAAAAAGTATATATACAAAATACATACTTTAATTATCATGATTATGCTAATTAACATACAAGTGCAAATATTTAGAATTTAAACTGAGTTTCTGATCTCACTCTCATCAGTCATGAGTGGAGGCTAAAAACACTGTAATTTTCAAAATCATTTGAGTGTTTTATCAATGTTTATGTACACTAGCTATTGTTACATACAGTGCATTTAATATGCATTTGTATTATTAGTTACAGTCAGTAAGGGACCTAATATGGAGTCATACAGTGTGTGAAATGGAAATCTGTATTGGGCGAGGCGAAGCCAAATCTCAATACGTATTTCCATTTCTCTACCTTTATGGCTCCGTGAAACACTAACCAAGTCCAGTCCAAAGACTATTTCTACCTACGTAGCTATTAATAGCTACATAGGTATTTAAACCTACCCAAAGTAGATATTTTTAGCTATTTTTGGTATTATCTACATTTTGTGGCCAAATGACTGAACGGCACAACATGGTGAATACCATAATTTTTTATACAGTCACACTAACGATGAACATGATGAATAAGACAATATTTTGACCAAAAAATGATTATTTCCTGAATCGGAAATTTTACATTAGTTTCTATGCAAAATTGATAATATACGAAGTAATCATTTTTGGCCAAATTTTTGTCATATCCATCATCAGTGTGACTGTATCAGGAAAATCTGGCTCACCATGTTGTGCCGTTCCTGCGTTTGGCCACAAAATCCAAGTAAAGCAGAAAGTAGGTAAAAATAGCTACTTTGGGTAGCTTTAAATACCTAGTACGTAGCTATTAATAGCTATGTAGGTAGAAATAGTCTTTGGACTGGACCTGCTAACAGAGCAAATTCAATTTGAATTAAATTATGAATATTATATTATAAATTTACCTAAAAGTTGGCGAAAACATACATTTATATTGTTGCAACTTTTCTCAAAGAAATAACATACGACTTTTATTACACATCAAACACTAAATCGGGCCAGATACGCTTTGATTTCTTTTAGCTGAAATTAACAAAGTACAATGTATTATTCTCTTTCTCCTTTGTTTTACCATATTTTACTATATGATGTTTAATAAATAAAGAAATAAAGTTTTATTTCCTCCTCTCGGATCGTCACCCTTGGCTAGCGAAGATGTCCTATAACGTTACATCGGTGTCAATGAAAATTCTTATGGGGATTTCTTCACCACATAATGAAATTATTATTATTGTATATTGACACTTACTTTCTAATAACATGTAAACTAACTTACTAAGCCAGACTACTGTACCTGTCCTGTCACCTGTGCCGTGGTTCACAAAAAAAATGACGTAATGAACGGAAATGCATGTCTGAAAGTTAAACCGATGAATCCGGAAATAATAAATATATCTAAAATATTTTACAATACAAAATTTAATGAGATACATTTTATATAAATCAATGCTGGTATAGAATGTGAGATTATACACAATCATAATTAAATCATACCATCATTTGTACAATAATTATTATGCCATTATTTTCAGGTCATTTGCCTGATTTGGGACAATGGCTAATAAAGCAAAGGTTAACTGTTTGATTACTAATCAATACATGTAAGACATATATGTATTTGATATTTTCCATGAAAAAAATCATCAAGATCTTTTCAAAAGTTAACCCATGATTATCAGTGGCGGATCCAGAAATTTCGTAACGGGGGAGGGGGGGGGGTTCTGGTGGTTGTACTGTTCAAAGCCCCAGTGGTCCTTTTGGGGGGGGGGGTCCGGTGGCAAAGCTGACTGTAAGTTCTTACAAATAAAAGATTTTTTCCCCTTGATTTTTATTTAGGATAATGGATTAAAAGTTTAATAGGCCTATACCAAAATTAAAACAGGGGGGGGGGGGGTTCGATCGGCCCTGGATCCGCCTTTAATTATTATATTGATGACAGTTGAAGAGAAAATAAAATTCATGTTCAGTCTCCCCTGCGTTACAAATATTTACCTGCGGGTATGGAAAACAGGTCTATCCATGGAGACAGCAACACGAGCAGCTGAAGACCGAGCCAGATGGAAATACCTTGTATAGCCGCCTCAAGCACCTGATGGCGCAGAGAGGATTGAGTGAGTGAGTGATAGAAAAATGTATCCTTTAATCTGTGACAAGGTTATGTCACTAAGTCTTTACTTGATAATACATTGATCTGATTGTTTCCTTTTAAGCTCACCTCGACGAAGTCGAGATGAGCTTATGCTATACCCCCGGCGTTGGCTTCGGCGTCCCAGGTTAAAGTTTTTGGAGTAGGTCCATTCTCAAGTAACTATAAGCCTAACTTGAACCAAACTTGATTAGATGATGCATCTAGGGATAGAAAATAAAAGACCTGCTTCAGATGCTGGATCTGACCTATATTTTCCAGATGAGTGACCAGGTTAAATTTTTTGGAGCAGGTCCATTTCTAAGGAACTATAAGCGTTACTTAGACCAAAGTTGCATGGATTATGCATCTAGTATGGACACTACCAGACTTGCTTCGGATGCTGCATGGATGTGACCTACATTTTCATTTCCAAGTAACTATAAGCCCTAACTGAACCAAACTTGCATGGATGATGCATCTAGGGATGAACACTACCAGACTTGCTTCCGATGCTGTATCTGACCTATATTTTAATTCCCAAGTAACTATAAGCCCTAACTGAACCAAACTTGCATGGATAATGCATCTAGGGATGGACACTACCAGGCTTGCTTCGGATCCTGGATCTGACCTATATTTTCCATACAAGAGACCAGGTTAAAGTTTTGGGAACAGATCAATCCCAATGAACTTGAAGTCCTTGAAATTTGCAGTATTAACAAAGTTATGAATATTTGTTTACACTATACATGTTTTTTCACGATACACGATAGAAATGTGTATATATGCCATGTAAGGGGTTAAACACAACTTGCAAGAATATCTCAACTTAACCATTTATTTATATCCTTACCAACCCCACAAATTAATTTTCTGAAAAACTTGAGCAATATACTTTTCAACTTTATATGGAAATCAAATGTTGATAAAATTAAAAGAAATGTTGTTACACAGCAATATAAACATGGTGGTTTAAAAATGATTGATATTGGCTGTTATATAAAAGCTTTGAAATCAACATGGATAAGGAGAATTATTAATGACAAAAACTCCAAATGGAAAATTTTGCTTGAAAATATAATTGATACTAACAAACTAATAAATACAGGATCAGTATGTTTATCAAACTTTAATAAGTGTTTACACAATCAGTTTTGGAAGGATACATTCAATGCTTTTCGGGAAATCCAAGATAATTCTGAAATTACAGACTGGAATGAATATGTTAACCAACCTTTATGGTTGAATAAAAATTTCAAAATTGGAAAACAATCTGTCTTTTATAAATTGTCTTATGAAAATGGTATTACTCATGTGTTAGATCTCCTAGATGAACATAACAATTTTCTATCATTAGAGGATCTACAAAATCAATTTAAAATTAAAATAAATTATGTGACATACAATGGTATTAGACAGACAATACTAGCAGACTTAAAGAAATACAATTTTTATAGAAATGGATTAATGCAAAGACCAATGATTCCTTTTAATATCAAAATATTTATCAATACCAGGAAAGGATCAAAACCTATGTATGATATTTTAAATAAGCCAGTTATCAAACCTTCTAGTAAAAATAAGTGGGCTAGATATTTTGAAATAACTGATATACAATGGAAAACAATTTATAATCTTCCATTCCTCGTGACACGGGATTGTAAATTACAATGGTTTCAATACAGACTTAATCATCATATTCTAACTACAAATAGTCTCATGTATAAAATAGGTAAATCCGACACTAAGTATTGTACTTTTTGTGAAGATGAAGAGGAAACAATTTACATTTAATCTGGGAATGTAATGTTATTCAGCAATTCTAAAAAAAAAAAAATCATACGTTTATGTCAAGCCAAAGACATTGAATTGAATCTCAATGCAAAATCATTTATTTTTGGTGAAAATGACAAAAATGAAAATTCAGAATACTTCAACACTATGTTGATATTAATGAAGCATTATATTTATAAAGTTTGTTGTCAGAATACCTGTCCATCTATCCACAACGTCTTTTAAATTTATTTAATTCATATTTTAAAACTTTAAAACACACCATAATAGAGGATAAAAAACTGACAGATTTTAATACTTTTTGGCAGAAATGGGTTGTTATACTTTAATTAATTTACCTTCTTTGTAATTATTATCATCAGTTCTTTTTTGAATTTTTTAAATATTAATTATTAGAAAATCCCTCAAAACTGCACTGCACTAGTCCTTCTTTAGCTCTTTAACTTCCCCCTTTTTCTTTCTTCTTCTTTTTTTTGTCCCCCGCTTGAAAAGTGGGGGATATTAATTTGGGTTTGTCCGTCCGTCCGTCTGTCCGTCCGTCCGTCCGTCTTTCTGTCTGTCTGTAACGCTTTCGTTTCCACACGATATCTCGAGGACCCTTTGAGCTTTTGCAATGAAATTTAGCATAGCAACTCCCTATGGACTAAAGAAGACCCCTATTGATTTTGAGGTCAAAAGGTCAAAGGTCAAGGTCATAAATAAGCAAATTCTGTCTGTTAAAACACTTTCGTTTCCACACGATATCTCTAGAATCATTTGAGCTATTGCAATGAAATTTTATATAACAACTCCCTGTGGCCTAATGAAGACCCCTATTGATTTTGAGGTCAAAAGGTCAAAGTTCAAGGTCGTAGATTTATACATTCTGTCCGTGTGTAATACTATCATTTCCGGGCGATATTTCAAGAAGATTTTGGTCTTATGCAATGTAATTTTATACCAAAACTCCCTAGGACGTCTCTCGCCCCTCTCAAAGTGCCCCGCCCCGTTTGTTTTATTAGTATTTATAGTATTACATGTCGCTATTTTTAGCGCAGGGAGAGTTATTGCGTATAAAACAGGTTATCGGCGG